GTTCAGCAGCACTTGTTCAGTTTGCAAGCAAGAAGTTTCTATTTGCTGAGGCAAGTGTTCTTGATTCTTCCATCTAGGGACTACTCTTTCCATGATTATATCTGAAAATGAAAATGTGTTGAAGGGTCAGTCATATTCTATGGATCGGTGAGATTAGTTTCGATGACGGAATAGAAGAAAATTTACTCACCCACGAGGTTTGAGTTTGTGTCTTAACCTCCTCGTGTCACCTGGCACAGGACCGGAAGCAAACTCTGAAGCAGGTTGATGAGTTCTTGAACACCAAGGTTGCCCCGAAAGAACTGGTCGATGAGCTGAAGGTACCGATAATATCTTGATCTGGGGTTGAGTTTCTTTCTCCAGACATTTTTATGTTTAGTAAAAGATCTGATCACCTGTGTGAAAATTGTCAGCAAATCGGGAAAGCTCTGCTTCCGCCAACGACAAGCAGCAAAGCTCTCCCGGCTCCGGCGGCTGAAGCAGCGGCAGAGAGTCCAACCACAACAGCCACCACTACCATCAACAAACCAGAGCCATCACCAGCCGAAGCCAACTCAGCAAGAACCGAAACCAAACCAGAATCTCACCCAAGACCGCTCTCTCCTTATGCATCCGTGAGTTGTTTCATCCATTCTCTCTCCAAGATTTTTATTTTTATTTTTTGCTTTCCATCCAACTCGATCTTGAGAGGAATGTTGAAATGAGGATTGGATTTCGGGATTTTGGGACGTGATTGGAAGCAATTAGAGAGAAAGTTAGTTATGAAATCAGATGTTGATTTCCTCGATTATCTCTTACCTTATTTCAACAATTTTTACATGTGCATAGATGCCGGTGTGGATCCGTTGAACTTAAAACATTAAATCCATTGTGTTCTTTTCGTTTTGCAGTACCCAGACTTGAAGCCTCCAGCATCTCCGACGCCATCGCAGCCCTGAAACCACCACACAAAAAAAAAAAAGTGTTGTGTTGCAGGGAACATATAGGCGCAAGTGGGTTGAATTTAATTGGTGTAAAAACAAACTACATGGGAAGAGATGGTTGTCTGAGCTTTTGCATTTGCAGTTCATGTGATCTTTGGTCGTCTGGCTTTTGATATTCGATGTTTGTCCTAATAAAAAAAAAAAGGGAAGGGGAAATTGACATTCCATTTCTTATGATCAGAGTGTCTCTTGTACAGATTCTGCAGCATCACCATAGAATAACTCTCTTACCAAAAGCTGCAGAGGTTTACCGGAACTCGGGTTGGCTATTGCCCCGACACGAGGAACAAATCAATCTAGCGGCACACACAACTATCAAGTATTGGACTGAAGTCTACACTGGATTGTCATCAGTGGCCTATCAACGGAAAAAACCCGCTCTTTCTTCCTCGCAAAGGATATACGGAATACTTGGTATAATGTGGATTGGTTTAAACATCGGGTTCCTAATCACTCTTTCTTTGTTCTTGATCGCAGTCCCACCAAAGACGGGTTGCTTCCGTGGGGGGGAGGATCGGTAAGTCCGAAAACAAAGCATTTCATTCCACCCAGCCAATCGAGAATGCAGTTCCTAACCTTAGGCCAAGCCGAGAATCTGCTTCGTGTGAACAAAAATTCCTAGTTTTTTTCTAAAAATAAGCGATATTGATTGGCCTACTTATGGTAGAGTCGAGAGAAAGCGAAAGAATGGTTAAGAGTGATCCACCGGTTTTCAAATATGTTCAGCTGGTTTGGATAATCATCAAAGGCAGGGGGGACCACAATGGGCGAGAACGCCCTGGGCCTCGATTCTTTTACATAGATCGGGGCTCGGCCGCTGCAGAGCAGCACGGCATAGCGTGCCCTCGCCTGGCCTAGCAGTAGACGGGCGGGCCGACGTGTTGTCTATTCCCTCGACTCGTTGGATGAATGTCGTCACGTGACTGCAACGGGAAGGGCAAAGTAAGCATATCCACACTTTCACCTCGTGCATTGTTTGGATGCCGAGAAAATTTGCAGGAGAAAACCTGAGGTATTCGTAAAAGATATTTCCCTCCTTCATACCAAAAAAAAAAAAAAAAAAAATATTTCCCTCCAAAGTTACGCATCATCACCAAACAAATCCCCCATGCCATACATGACGTGAGAAATAATCATATCAATACAAACCTTCTTCCAACAAGATTTTTTTCTAAAAAAATCAAAATCGGGTGATGATTAAAAAAACATATATCTTTGAACAAATCACCAATATGAAATATTGGTATTATCTCGAGAGATTCTTCTAACATTTTATAGATCAATTTTTATATGTTATTCCCTTTCTCAAGACTTTTGTATACCATTTGCCATGGATTTCTGTAGATTTACGGACGATTACCGTTTTGTAAATTATTATATATAATATGATTCACATTTTCATCAAAAAAACAACGTTATTCTCTTCGTTTTTTCCATGCATACATTATTACATTATACATAAGAGAAAGCAACCAAGCGGTCTATTTACACAGAAAACGGTGTCGTTTCACCTCCTCCTCTTCCTACA